ACCTGTCAGAGTTGTTGGACCCTCTGTCGGCAATTTTCCTGACTTACAGACATTTTACTAAAAAAATATAAAATTGACTGTACCAGCCAAGTTAAATGTATATGTATATATAATATATGCAAAGGTATTATTTAACTCTGTTGACGGGAAAAAAAAATGTGTCCATCAGATTTTAAAATTACAAGTTAATAACTTAAATGAATTTTAATTTATTTCCATTGTTCAAATTTTAACGGATGACAGACTTTAAATATAATACAGCTATCATGAAAATTGTTTGTATGAAGATATAGTTATAGTATTATGTTTATATTAATGTTTGAATATATTTATGAAACTATATACAGTACTGCATTCATTCCTATCGAATAGTACACTTTCACACATTTTATTTACCCACATGACAATCGAATACTAACATAACTTGTTCACGCTATTTCAATCTATTAGTCCGACCCAATACCATGTATTTATTAAACCCAATTCATTTCGTGGTATGGATACTGTATGGTAGTGTAGTAATTAATATGCAATAATTATGATAATGCTGATATAACAAGAAGTGTGAAATACTATTCTGTTGTATCAGTAGCATTGTCCATACAATGCGATAACTGGATACGATGTTCACTTTGGGGCGCTCACTATTTTGCATTCATTTATATATTATGTTGTTGGTACTTTGTTTTTTCTGTTTCCAAATATTTTCACAATATTTTTCTCTTCCAGCGAGGCAGACAATGAATCCACAAATGTCAGGAAAGGATGTCCGCTCTCGATTGTGGAAGGGTAACAGAACTTTCCAAATTATATGAATAGACAAAATGTTATCACTCATCAAGCTTCCTGCAAAAAGTCTGGATATGAAATTAATAAAAATGTAGTGTGAATTTTTATTTTTGAAATATTTTCCCTTGCATAAATCTAAAATATGGCACTCCTGATATAAAATATATGAGAAGGTAGTCCAGCAAAACCGTTGCGGTGGTTCCGACGGCCCTGTGCAGCAAGTTTTGACATAATTGCCAGCAGAACTTTCAATACACTGCCTCAGTATTATATTATTTCAGCGGACCTCAGATAGAAATTTCTCGCCAATGAACAGACGACGAGATAATACCATCTTATATTCATGTGCATGAAAATCAGTATTTACATGCTTTAGCTGCCTAAAATACCACGTACCGTAACAATCACAACACAGATAAACACAGTTCAACTAACATGTTTATTTCTTTCATTGTATAGAAGTTAACAAAGTAAAATGTTATTCATTAAAGAATAATACATAATATAATAAATCAGCAGTATAAATGTTTCAGAAGCTTGTCACCTTAAGAGCTTTAACTGGCTATAAAAGCAAAGAACTTATGGGCCCCCAGGATCAGCAGTTTTTTTTTGTTTTGTTTTTTTGCCAGGACCAAATCAGCCGAGCTGGGCCCATAGTGAGCATATAGTGTAGTGGACATCAAAATATGTTCTAACTTCACTGGGGTCCTAAGCCACTCCAGGCTCCCATGGTGGAAGCGCCCAAAGACGCCTTAGCCAAGGCCACAGGCTTCTTTATATTACACCCATTCAGAAGTGCTCAACTCGGCGAGATAAGCACTTTTATGCAAAAAGTGACAATGTGAAAAAGTGGAGCCTTTTGAAGATGTAAACGACCACCTCAATTGCGCTGACCACATAAATAAGAGTTCCATCTTGAAACTTGTATTAAAAGTTGCTACTGTCTATAAAGATTATTTGAACAAGATTGTTTTTCTTCTTTCGAGATTTTTTTTCTTTTTTTGCCATCCAAGCTGAGCCAGCTAGCAAACGGCCCCCCTGGTAATGGGCCTGCCATTGTTATGGCTATAAATAACATTTGTGATGGCCGAGTCAAGAAATATACAAGAGAATCAACTACAGTATATCAAAAATAATTAAATAGTTTTGTTTTTTTTTTTTATATATTCTCTACCAATGATTTTTAATTTATGTGAGTAGCCCACCTTTATTCCTAATTCAAATCTTATTTTTCATCATGTTTCTTTTTCATTTTCACATTATCATAAATAATAATTTCAGTTCATATAAGTCTCATGTTTTTTTCTCATATTTACTTTTGATTCAAAATACTGACTGTATACTATTATCACATTAATTAATAAGTAATTAAAGTAACATTGGCATTCAGCTGCATTTCATTAATATAATTTTCTTTAATACCATATTTATTTGATTAAACACACCCAGGGCAGCTATTGTTACAAAGGGCCCACCTCTCCCCCCCCCCCCCCCCCACTTTTTTTTTTCAATTAGTCATTTAGGGGGATGTTTGTTCGAGGAAAAAATATATACGGCCCAGGGTAGTTATTGGAGGGAGGAATTTTCAAAATGAGGCTCTGGAGGTGTAGTCTATTTGAGGGGGGTGTATAGTCAAAGGGGGCGTTAATTCGAATAAATACGGTATTTCAACTAAATTGAAAGTATCATTGAAAACAACACTGTCAACAGTGTAATGTAATCCCTATCTTCTTCAAATTAAGTTTAATGGGGTTTTTTTCCTTTTAAAGATCGTTCTATATAATATAATATAATATATACACTACATATGCTTTGAAAATTATAGTGATATGATTATGGCTAACAAATTTGAATACAATAAGTAGTTGATACAGTGTCTTAAAAATGCAGTAATGGTAATAACAACTATAACTGAATCGATTTCATTGAATTGCGTCTGCCAACAACAGCTGGATGTAGTGGCTTCCCGGCTTAAGACCAATATGAGAACTGTCAATGAATTACAGTATGCATCTTGTAAATTGACTAATGATATACAATTATCACAGGATTACTAAATAAAAAAAAATAAACCATAATTGAACACATTTTTGTTTGTATTGCTTTTACATGTTAATGTAAATTGAATTAAAATTGTACAACCGATTTCAACAATATCTGTTCATTTTTAGGAATAAATTCATACACACTCTGACTTCACTTATGCTTGGGTACCAATTATTGTATGTTAAGAATAAGCAATTAATTTACAATGTCATTACCAATTACAGTTAAAGTATTGTTGAGGATTTTGATCTACAGTCTATGATACATAGATTTAAAGTGGCATACATGCCTACATGTATATGCTAACTCCTTTCAAACTTTTAATCCATTAAGTACCAGAGATTTTTATTTTAATCAGGTTTCTTTATACAAACATAAATGCATTTACCTGTAGCGTGACTTAATTTGTGGGAGGTTCGTTTCAGTGGACAGTGGACCCTTTGGCTTGCATGATCTCCGATACTCTGGAGAACACTGTAAATATATCTACGAATATCAATATTTTCGTTTTTAAATGCAGACTTTCTCCAGTTTTTGGGCGTTTCGTCGTAACCCCCTTAATGCCCCACGCTACAAACAAATAAACAACTATGTCTTGTGTTGATTTTTTAGGATTGGGTTGAATTCGTATGGTGCGATACACACCAAGAATAACCCACAATATGTGCACGTGGGACATTTTGCACACAGGACCTACGACTTAAATGTCTCATCTCAAAGATGGTGCACTTTTGAAACTTGCATTTTAGCCCTCCAAGCTGAAACACAAGGAGAGCAGTGATGGGAATTGAACTGGTGACCTAAAGATCTCCACGGTTCAGCGCACACACAGTGGCTACCTCTGGGTTAGCCGACTGAGCTAGCTGGTCTCTACAGGCGCTTGAGGGCAGTATATTATTACTTAAGATGATCAGGTAGGATAGTTCAAATATGCTGTGCATCAGTCACAAATTAGCATATCCCTCATTTTTTCTAAGTACATGGATTATACACTGTATAGCAGTTTGTAATTTAAGTACAGAAATTCACATTCAAAAGGAATACATAGACAGTTAAACAGTTAAACTTTCCTGTGACGTATGAGAAACCAATTTCTTTTTTTTTTTTGTTAAATGTTATAAATTACTGTAGTTCTTCGGGTATAGGCAGTAAAGTATGGGGTGGGAGTATACCCCATCCCAAGATGGCCTTTTACTCAGTGAACTACGGTAAATGTTTGTTTTGTTGTTCAATGTTTCTCCCCTTCTAATTGCTTTTGATCTATTGGTCTTAAAAATGCCAAGTGCTGAAAGACCTTTTACAGGAAAAATCAATGAACGTAATTCTGTCTTTTCTATAGAAAAATGTATACAATATACAGTTGAACTTGCCTAAGTCAAATCCAAAATGCCACTAAAATATTGTTCAACTTTAATAAAATTCAACTTACAGATTGTTAATTAATGGAAAACACAATAATTTGGTATGTAAAATATGATCGTATTAGAAATTATTTGACTTAGGCACAGTCAACTTAGGCAAGTTTAACTGTATCATGAAAGCAGCAATACTATCATACAAAGATATTTTTTTTTAAATATCATTTATTTAAATTTTATGCTCAGGGCCAAGGATATGCAAAAAGCGAACTTAGTAAAGTGAATAAAATCTCTTTACTAAGTGGCAATCCTTTTCACATGACAAACACAGAAACAAGATGCTCTACATAAACTAAGTCTCATTATTAGGATTATGGAGTGGAGCTTGCTTGGTCATGAGGAAACATCCTGTTACAGAGGCAGGAATTGAACCCAGGACCCTAATCTTGACCACCAAGGAGGTTCTACCCCTCAAATAAAAGACCAATTTTGAGTCTGGGGTTTACATGGTTTTTAGCAGCTTTGGTCTCTAATTAGAATAATAAAGATAAAAGACATCGGTTAATTTGGGAACACAGGAATGTGGTCTTTAATTGGTCTTTAATTGAAAGGGTCTTATATTACAGGGAGACCTTTATTCAACTCCACTTGTCATCTTCACCATACACTTAATATTTATCTTCCAGGCCATCAGGCGAAATGCACCACTGCCATTCACCGTCTTGGCTTGCCTCCACTACCACGATTTCACAAGTTGGATCTACTTTAGCGTACACGTCAAAGGTATTCCCTGCCTGGTCTTGTAGTATGAACTTCGCATTTGGTTTACCATTTTTCCCAAATATTCCAAAGACCTGTGAAAGAACAAGACATAGTTGTTTTCATGTTGTCTTTTTTTCTGCTAGGATTAGATTGGATTGGATTTAACTTTAGAGGGATTTTTTATCTAAAATATGTTTTCAGATACATTAATTCGAAAATTATCTTACTTCAGTTGTACTTGATTCAGCTTTCTCATATATCTACAAGTTATTTTTTATGCTTAGTACCACCAGACTCATTTTGTGATTACATTTAACAAATATTATGAGAAATATTTGACTAACTATAATAGATCATACCTTAGAGCTTATGCCTTTAGCCAGCTCCCCATACGTCATTGTAGCAGAATTAACAACTCGGACTTGTTCATCAAACACTTGCACGTTAATGTAAGTACCTAACATAAAAAAAAATAGATTTTTTTTTATTAAATTATATATGATGCATGTCTTTAAAGCAAAATTGGTAGCCTATAATCTGGTTTTGAATGTCTAATTGCTAAGATGTTTTCTATAATTATATATTGAATTCCTGGTTACTATGGAAACAAAGTTGTGATGCATTGGTACCAATGTACATTCCTTCAAAAAATTTTACCTGAAGAATTTCTGCTGCTTTGTGATTCTGTTCTGCTACGTGGAACAGGTTCTCTTATACCTTGGGTGGTAAGAAGGTTTCCTACTTGGTTTCCTGACGCTGTTCCGATTCCAGAGGTGGTATTTTCAATCTACAACAGTTATATAAACAATAGTATTATGTGACTATAAACCTTAGTTTATGGAAGGCAATTATAGTTATCTTCGGGAATGAAAATCTCACATGGGAGGTGACTATATATAACTGTCTTCAGGAAACTATAAGAAACCATAAACTTTCTTGGGGAAAAAAAAAAAAAACACCATCTGTTTAGTTCTCTAAAGATCTGTGTAATTTGAACTTGTCTAAGTTGAATCCAAAATGCCATTTAAATATTGTTCGACTTAGATAAAATTTGACTTACAGATTGTTATATAATGGAAAACACAACAATTTGGCATGTAAAATAAGACTTAGAAATTATTTGACTTTAGGCACAGTCGACTCAGACAAGTTTAACTGTATATGGAAATGTAATTCACAAGCTAAGAATTAATGATTCCAAAGGTGGCATTGTCTATCTACAAAAGTTCGCGAAAAAATGTTTATTGGATGATGATGACGATAATATTAATATTGATGACAATGATGATGGCGACAATTAGGATGGTGATTTTTGGAGCCAGGATAAAAATGATGATGGTAATGAAGATGGTGGCTGAAAAAATGTTGAATTGATTAAAAGTAATAAGGAGTATACTCAAAATGAGTTTATGATTGTGAACAACAATAATAATGATGATAATGAATGAAGGTATGATAATGAGAATAAGTCAGGCTATGACCTTAGAATGGGATAAACAAATGAATACATAATAAATTACCTGCAGCTGTTCAGCTTGAAAAGGGATTGATTGGAAAGTTAATTCTGTAAAAAAAACATCCAACAAGTCTAGAGTAAAAATATGGTTCATGTTGTATATTTCAGATGTGATGTCCGAAAAAAGAAAACAAAAAACCATCAACCAACTGATACTAAAATTTAGGATGTTTTTGTAGACTAGTTTCTAAACATATTCTAAAAAACTTATATTGGGTTTCTAAAGCACAAATGGGCATGATAGTTTATTCCTATAACTGTAGCTGGCAGGTTGGCCTGTTATTTTGATGGAGAGAAAATCTTAAGCAACCTACCTGAATATAAACTTTCCAAATAACTGAGTTGTTGTGAACTGTTGGAAAAACTCTGCTGCTTGCGATAACTAGCAGCACTTGCAGATGCTGTAGGTTCATAGTCGGGTGTCGATGGAAGACACTGAAATAAATCTCCAAAAACACTTGATTGAGAACTGGAGCGTCTGTCAGGTGTTACTACTGGTGTACTTGTTGATCCTGATGTTCCACATCTGAAGGATCTGTCAGATGATCTTGGTGTAGCAGGCATTCCTGGGCTATCAGATAGTTCTGAATGTGGCTCTGGTTCTGGTTCTTTTTCAGGTCCTGGCCCATAGAGATCCTCATCGTCAATCTGCTCATCATCGACATCCAGGTTGCTAAATTTGACAGTGACATCATCTAACTCTGGGTAACCACCTTGAGTGTATTTTCCCTGTGGAATTGGCAGATCTTGGGGTCGAATTGTTGGTGGAGTTGGTGCTCGTCCAAGAGGGCGCAAGAAAGTACGATTATCAAGCCGTTGGGAACCATCATAAGGGCTGCAACTGCAGCGTTGTGCTAGTGACACCTGGTTGATGTCACCAGAACATTCAAGGACTTGTGCTGGTGACATCTGATTAATCTCGCAATCTCCCACATCTACTGGATGTGAATTTTCTTCTTGTCGAAGAGGTTCCAAAATACAAGACGTATCAAGATCTTGTAATGAATCAGGAGGGGGTATTGGAAATCTTTCAGTGTCCATTTCTACATCTTCCAACCCTTCATTTATATTTTCATACATGGAAGTAGTATACCTTCTTAAATTATCTGAAAGGAAGAAAATAAAATGAGGTTGTTACCTACAACAACATATTAAGAATGCAGACAAGCAAAGATAAAGCCCTAGGGAAATAAAAGATTATCAACTTGCAATAAAAAGTTATTGGCAATTCTATCTATTAAAAAAATTTAGTTGAAGCAATTCTCAAGGTAGACAACAGAAAAATATTCAAGTTATTTTTATGGCAAGCACAGTGATTTGGTTATATTCTATAACTGGCATATACTTGCTGTTGAATTAGAATTTAACAACCAGACCAATCAATCAAACAATTAAATCAATCAATAAATCAATCACTCTGTAATGGAGCAGTATTGTTTACTGTGTCATTTCCTGTCTTTCCTTATTCTGTACATGTACCATATATACAAATTTAGCATTTTCAAACAAGTGTGGCCTGCTAATATTTTATAAGCTGCAGATTCAAATATTACATCACACTCCACTGCAGCATTGGTGTCATTTAGACATGTGGAATAGGCTGAGGTTTTGATATCTTAACTGTCATTTTAGGCATTTAACATGAGCTTTTTATAAACCAATATTGTATGTGTGTAAAATGTGTTTAAATTATAAAATATTAATGAAACTTGTAATTTGTATGTGTGCAAACTCTTGTTTTCTTGTTCACTCAGTTTTCAAGAAGCCATTAAATAGTATATGAAGGAAGAAAGCTACTTTTGACACCCTGGCCTTGTGTGAATTTTTTGTGGCTAGACTCAACCAGCCTCAACACATCCATGAAAGATTTCTCACTACCATTACAATAAACATAAGGAAAATTGACAAACCCAAATCAAACATTGGATGTCCCAGGAGTTGAGAAGCCGTTGGCCTTGTGTCATTATCTCCAAAACCTTCTATAAGGAAACCCCTGATAGCGGGATCTAAAGACGCTGGAATGTCTTCCACAGGAGGGGGTCTTGTTCCAACCTATTTAGATACACAAACAAAATCATGATATAAAATAGTTACAAACACACACAAACAATTATTGTAATCATATCTCCAAATAAATAATTGTTTTAGCAAGTTTGAAAAAAATGCATCAACACTTACAAGATACACGTAAGATTTTAAACCTGGGAAACGTTTCATCCATGGTGGACTACCAGTGAACAGGTTGATAGCCGAGCAAATTGTACTCCAAACATCGATGGTAGCATTGAATGCTTCACATCCTGAAAAAAACATACAAGTAAAGAATCAAGGAATCAAGGAATCTTTATTGTCGATACAATCAAAATTTGGATCAAGGAGATTATTGGTTAAATAAACAAAAGATAAAAGTAAAGAATATATTAAGTGTTACAGTATATTAGACATTAAACTTCCAATATAAAAAAACAAAAAACAAACAGAACAAATAGAGTATGTGAAAATAAGATAAAAAGTGTAGGTAAGCCCATAAGAAGTTGATTATTGCGAGCAAGATATTGCAAACGGATTGCTTAGTTCCTTATTCTAATTATCAATAAAAATCCAATATTTTGAAATTGTTCAAGTTCATTGGCTCTACTGTAAGCAAACTTACGGCAGACTTCAGGTGCCATAAACTGCGCTGTTCCTCTTGGGTTTGAAACTATTTGCTGACCATTGTTGTTAAGTTCCATGGCCAAACCCCAGTCAATGAGAACAATATCATCATCATACGTCAGTAGAATGTTAGCAGCTGTCAGGAAAAACAAGACATAATGAAAAATTAAACAAATGTAAGGCAAGGTGTAATGCATGTTATCATGAAGTTAAGAATTCGTAAAATTGTGTTAGTAAAACCAATGAAAATGAAAAGAGCAATCTATTTGAAACGTCAATATACTCTCAACCCAACAGTTTGTATCTGAACTATATACGTGGCGTACTGCAAATTTATATTATTGTTTATCTGGCAGACCCACTTTTTCAGCATTTTTTAATGGGCCGTAACTTTTAAACAGTTTGTTGGGATAATAATTGAAAAGGAAAATGATCAGTGAAAACAGTTTTACAGATTTAATACTAAGAAAATCCAAAATAATCAATATGAATTTTCTTAAATGGGATAATAATAATGTGGAAATTATGAATAGAATGACTGGGACAGTACTTACGTTTTATATCCATGTGGACAATGTTCATGGAGTGGATATATTCCAAGACGCACAGAAGTTGCTTGATCCACTTTACGATATTACGATCGGAGCGAGGAACTTCATCGTTCATAATAGACAACGGTCTACATGGGATGTATTTACTGAGCATCATGATGACGCTGCCATGGCGAACAACACCCCACAGAGGTACGATGTATTGGTGCTCTAACCTCATCCAGATGAGGGTTTCATCCACCTCAAAGTTTTCAAAGGGAACCTGCACAGTAGAAAGTACAGTATGTGAAACTTTGACAGGATATAAAGTCAAATAGAATGTCAATCAAACTTTAATAATAACTGACAACAGACCAATCATAACTGAGCCAGAAATATACGTGTATCCTACAAATACACGCTTTGTTGCATATGTTTTTACACTGTCCTTTTGTGACAACTTAGCAACAATATTCAAGGTGGAGCTGGGGGGGGGGAGGAAGGTCCATTAAGAATTTGAAACAGTGATTTCAATTTATGCATCTGCATAAAGAAGGTAGGTGAAATGCTCTGAATAATGAATAATACATAAATACATAAATGAACCATAGTCTTGCAGGCGTCCCAGGTAAGTATAGTCCCTGTCTCTTATACACATCTAGATGTGTATAAGAGATGATTTTAGTAATGTAATTCGACAGGCAAATTACAGTAATATTTTTAGCAAATTTCTTTGAAAAAATTTCGTAGGCATAGGGCCTAGGACTAGCTAGGTATACAGTAATTTCATTTTACAGTAGTTTGGAACGATATCAGGAGTGGGGGTGGTGGCAGTGGCCTACTAGGACTACAATTTATTTGAAGCTATCTTGGGTCCGATCGTCCACACCAGTTGGGCCCAATCGTCTGTCACCCGAAGTTTTCATTATGATGATCAAGAACGTATACTATCTAGGCCCTAAGCTAGGCTTAGATTGCTGCCATCACTCTGCTACGTATACTACTACCGCATAACAAAGAAAGCGACCCACAAGGTGCATTCTTAAATTGTACACACATTATTAAAATGTATTAGACGATAACACGATATCACTGACTGAACGATCTACCACCCTCGCATCGCAGTAACTACTGTACTGAACTAGGCCTAATGTTTTTGTGGAAAGTTAGATAGTCGGCTGCCTTTATATCTTCACTTGTCTTCAATTTGTATTCAAAGGGTACATTGCTGCACAGTCAACTGTCGGGGATATGGTACCTTCATATGACTACTCCATAGGCTATGTTCAGACACAACGACTTACGCTAGCGTAACGTTAATCGAGTGGTGTGAACTTGTGCGCGGTGTAGGAAACGCCAGTATTATCGCACAATCACTAGCGTACGTTAACCTAGTAACAGACCCCAGATTAGCGTACGCCACTGAATTACGAAAGTCACGCATCAGTGATTTTGAACTCGGCCAGGATTTGACCGATCAAAATAAGCCTAGATGTAAACAGGAAATAAAGTGCGCGAATTACGAATACGAATATTTCGCGCGCGTTCGTTAATCGCACAGTCTGGACATCTCGCTAGTTACGCCATGGATTAACGTACACCCGGCGTTAGATACGCCTGGCGTATTTCTCAGGTCTGAACGTAGCCTTACGCTAGCGTAACGTTAATCCAGTGGTGTGCACTTGTACGCGGCGTAGCGAACGCCAGTATAATCGCACAATCACTGGCGTACATTAACCTAGCAACAGACCCCAGATTAGCGTACGCCACTGAGTTACGACAGTCCCGCATCAGTGATTTTGAACTCGGCCAGGATTTGACCAATCAAAATAAGCCTAGATGTAAACAGGAAATAAAGTGCGTGAATTACGAATACGAATATTTCGCGCGAATGCTTAAGCTAGCGTTCGTTAATCGCACAGTCCGGACATCTCGCTAGTTACGCCATGGATTAACGTATACCCGGCGTTAGATACGCCTGGCGTATTTTTCAGGTCTGAACATAGCCATAGAGATAATAATAAGAATACTAGAGCGCTAACCACAATGTATTCGATGTTTGAAATACGCAGAACTGTGTGGGTACCATCCAAGATGGCTGCCATAGATTTAGCCAATCAAATTTCGCTAAGCACCATCGTTTGCAATTGCACCCTCAATTTACTCAGAGGGTTCAGTACAGCTAGCTTCCCGTATGTTTGAAACTCGAGCGTTGCGGTGTTTGGGTGTAATGTACACGATTTTAATTTTCATTCCTTGGTACTTTATTTTTGAATAAGATGCTCCACTTGGCCTCGTTTTGGCTACAATAGTTTAATAATTTGTTATTACAATTACTCATTATCATTAAGGAAATAATAGTCAGTCAGAGGGCTTATTAATATGTAATAATATGTAATAATATGTATACTAAGCCTGAAGGTGGTGCTTTACTACAACGTCCATCTTGGATGGTGCACATACATAACTCTGCATTGCTGCGCCATCTTGTTTAAGCTCTATGGACTAGTCATACAACAGAAAAAAACGTCGCATGGAGTTAGTGAAAAATGGAGATCTAAATGAAAAAAACGATGTATTTCAGCAAGTATTAAAACCTTTTTGTTTTATTTTAGGCCTTCTTCAAAATACCAATGCCACAGCAGTTGATTTTTTTTGCCGTAAAACCAAAATAGTTTCATGCATGCCGACTTGCCGATCGGTTAGCGTGAGCCCTGACTGAACTCTGCAGAAACTTCACATCGAACTTCGCATCGCGATGTAAAACAAAATGTCGGAACACTTTTCTTTGACGCATGCGCATTTGCATAAATTTCTACACACACACACACACACACACATACTACACACAATAAAAAACAAAAGAAATGTGACAAAGAGTGATTATAATAGTTCCTATTGCATTACATGCATAGGAACTAAAAAGTAAGGTTGTTCTGTAAAATATGTAGGTATAGAACATACATGAATATTATTGTACCTTAAAGTTAAATTAAGAAATTAGAAATAAACAAGACACCTGAAAGCATTGTTTAATTTTTGGTCAACTTTTTTGAGATTGAAGCTTAGACCACCAACAACCATCCCCATGGTGCTCCTTAGTGTTAGCTAGCTCTACTTTTAAAACTCTCTAGAAACTACCAAGAACTAATATTAGTATTATTGTATCAGTGATTCATATATGTTCCCCATCAACTAGACATTAGGCAAGAAAGTTACCTCTATATGACAAGTAATTTGCATAGAGGAAACCAATATGACCTCTATGTATCAGACTCAACTTTCAGATTTTCCCAATAAATCTTTAATTGTTTTATCAAATAAAACCTTCAATATTCATCAAAACATAACACATTCACAGTGGTTGGTTCAAATAAATACCACACAGTACTTATATGATTTAAGAAGGCATTTACCTACCAGTGTATAGACCATTATGTTGGATTGACACAGTGCCGCCGTCTCGCATCTCACTGGGGGACTTCCAGCGGCCTAGCCTGAGCAGCTGGCTGGTCACATATAGAGCGCACCGCAGCGGATAGCACCGCTAGACACGTGCCATAGCAATTAATGTATATGTAAACATTGAAATAGCTTTTTAAGACTTAAGCTTGTTTTTAATATAACATTTCGTGTTTTTTCCGTTTTAAATGTATGTGCTCGAAAGCAGTTTAGTTTTATTGTTGATTTAATCCATGATAGTAACTACGAACTGAGAAATGCTAGGCCTCTAAAAGTCCTCCAGTGGTAGTTATCGGAAATTTTAATTTCAAATTTCGTGAAAATGGTCTATACAAAAGCTAAGTTCCAAACATGAATACATACATACAAAGTGAGTGCAATGCCTACTGGCACTTCCTATTCTAGGAAGAATTTTCGAATAATTCCTTTCTTTTTGTTTATTTATTTATAGGATTATTAATTGTGATTAGAAGGCAAGCTATTTAACTCCACTTAATTATAAAGTACTATTAAAATACTTACAAACTTGCAAACAAAATGTTTCTTTGTTTCTTCATCGAAACATAAAAAGACCTCTCCAAAACTACCAGAGCCAAGGCGATGCATTTTATGAAATTCTTTACCTGGTCTATAATAGCAACAACTTGGAGTTAATTCCTGTGGGATAGAAGAATATAACAACCATTTATTTGTTCATTCAATCATTCATTTCATTTATGCACCCATCCATTAATTCTTCAATTTATTCTCTTTTATACCTATGATGGCCAAATTAAAGATAACTTAAAAACAAATTAATAAAAATATATTTTGTCTTTCTTGTTCTCTTTCAAATTAAAATTGGAAATTTTGGCTGGGCCTCTGGCAAACTATGGCATCTAAGAAGCATTTACAATATGAGTATTTTCACAAGTGTACAAATAGTAGGCTATGGTAAGGGTTGACTAATTTGTGCACTTTTACATGCATGAAAATGATGATTCAAAATAACATGCAATAATTAAAACAATAAATTTTTATGACCAATTAAATGGAAACATGGATATAATATACATTTTTAAGTAACCAAGTATAGAACTTTAGTTGACTTCACAAGTTTTTGCAAAATCAACATTTTTTATGTACTGTACACTTTCAGATGAGAGGGAGGGGTACCGAATAAGAGTACTGTTTACACTTGCAAAAATTGGCGACCCCTAAATGGCAGTGCCAATCAACATTTAACATTACAAATTTTTAACTGCCTGCTTAAAACGTTTGCTGCCAGGGCCTGGGATGTGAGTTCACATCCAATGAAGTTCAATCAGGCCGCCAAAGAGGTAAGTTCATGTCCACACCTGTACAACATACCACTATTGTACTGGGCGTAAACGCTCGCCCTGGAGGTTCAGGGAAGGACCTGGAAGTAACGATCTAAAAATAACTACTGTATATTTGTTCGTGTTTCACTACGGTTGATGGAAATGATTTTCATTATGGTGGCGCCCTTTATACCTTGGCATATGGGATGAATCTATAAAAAAAAAAGGCTTCAAAACTTGATGCAGTAGCTAGGTCATGAACCAGGGTCTACATTATGAATAGTCAGTAATCTCATCACTAAGCCAAATGCTCTATCCTTCTGGTTTCATATATTATTCAAAAATTTATCATTTTATCAAGAGATAACTTTTCAATTACATATTATTATTAAATAAAGAAAACCTTACTCTATTAAAGATAACACCATCATTGGTTTCACCATCAGTTGCATCATGATTTTGAATCCAATCACAAATTTTGTTACGGCATGTTTCCTGATCGCCATAAGTAACACCTGATGGTCGACGGTTCAACACATGACCACCTCTAGGACCGGGAAATATACCAATTCCCACTGGGTCGATGTCTGGGGAAGGAGTAGTTTCCATGGCCATAGCTTTATTGCTACTCCCTGCTTGTTTGAACTTTTTCTTGGGTCGTGCCCCCTGACTACTGCTGAAACGCATTCTCTTGAGATTTTCGCAACATGCTTCCATCTGTAGTTTCTTCTCTGGAAGACTCTTTAATAGCCATAATAATATAATTTCGAGCCTTTCTTCTTTGTCTACAAGAAAAAAATAAAAAATACATGACAATAACATCTAATAGTTTTACTTATGAAACTGATTTCACACTTTCAGTCTATCTATTGATTTTTTCTTTTTTTAAATAAAATATTGAATTAAATGCAATACAATGTGTGACATAAGATCACAGAAGGGCTGTAAACTCGCATCACCAGGTCTTTAGAAACAGGGTCAAATAGGCCATATAAAATTTGTGTTATAAACATTAAGTATTCCCATTAATCTTACATTTTTGAAGTTTGGATTTAATATTCCAAATCTAAACCATAAAATTTAGTCATTTTAGGAAGGCCATTCAATGAGGGATGTGATGTGAACAAATATTGTTTTTTCACAAGACTACTGTATCATCTTTAACTGAGGGAGTTATTTCTCCACATATAGTTTAATTTCAGGTGACTTATCTATTGATAGCATACCAAGATATACCCAGAACATCTTGGGTTTGAATCCTGATTGTGACAAAAGTGTGTTTTTGTTTTTTTTTTATCTTTTGTGCGGTCATCCCACCTTTATTCATCACAAAGAAAAGAACATTTTTTATAAGCAACATTGTGGTTACACAATCATCTATAATGCAATATGGCAATGTAAAAATACTGGAGAAATTTTTGGCATACGTTTTAAAAATGAATTGTTTAGTTAAAAGTTATTCAAAATATTTGCGGATATGTTTTTCTATCATAAAAAGTTGGAAAACTGAGGTGTAACACCATTTGTTCAGATGTTTTAGGACGTTTGCTTTGTAAATGCAAAACGTTCCTAATGAAAACAGATGGTCTATATAAACATTTCCTGTACCAATCACAATATTTTTAAAATTTGCTTCAATACCATAATTAATAATGCTAAAATGATTAATAAAATTCCACAGGTCATGTGATTCTGTACAATAATAAAACAAATGTGCGTCATTGCACTTTGGACATGTATTATTTTCGATAATTTTCCATGTATGTAACCTTTTCCTAGTAGGAACAATACAGTGCAATATTTTATAGTTTATCTGTTTGAGCTTGTTTTCTTTGATAGATTTCACTTTCCATGACCAGGTAAGTTCCCAGTCAAATTCTGTATTAAAAAATTTATGCCACTTTGATTGAGAATTTGTAGGTTTTAAACATTTTTTTGATAAAAAACAATTATATATTTGTTTACTGCTCATATTGCAGCAATTTTTTACTACTTCTTGTGTATTATTTTGCTTTACATTTTCAGTTTTTGAGAATATAATATTTTTCTATTCCTGTGGAATTGCCATCATTAAATTAGAAAATTCTGATATCCAATTTGATTTATTATTTAACAATAATAATAGCTTATTTGAATTAATGAAGTCGTAACCAATCACAATATCTTTCATTTTGCGAATACCGGATCTAATCCAGTTTCTATAACAGAGAAAATCCATTATACATTATTAATTTGTTTCCCCAAATTTGCTGCTCCATAATTTCCTCATAGCATGTTGGATGTTTCATTAAACTTTCGTTACATTGGGCTACTGCATGAAGTAATGACAAGTAAAAACCGTGTAATTTTTTACAGGGTTTTTGCTTCCAATTCATATGCGATACATTTTCAATTATATTTCTTGGGGCAAGCTTATTAAAGTACATCATTTGCAAGTGTTTCCAATTTGCTACTTCATCATTATACAAGCGTTTTACCCAAGATAATTTAAGGGAAAGCACTTGGGATTTAAAATCAGGGGCCCTAATACCACCGCACTCATAGGAATTAATGAGAGTTAATCTTTTTATTTTTTCCTTTTTTTTATCCCATATGAAGTCAAAAACAATGCGATCAACTTCATTGATGACTCTTTCAGGTGTTTCAATAATACTTGCATTGTACATTAATTTAGACAATCCAAGTGTTTTTAGAATTAAAATTTTTCCAAAAATCGTTAAATTTCTTTTTCGCCATGTATCTAGTATATTTTTTAAAGATTCAATTTTTTCAAGCCAATTTTTATTAAAACACAAGTCATGGTCATGACCAACAAATATTCCGAGGATTTTGAATGCATCTGATACCCATTTGATATCGTGTGGACTATCAGTTCTTTTTTTCCATTGTCCTAACCACATAGCATTTGTTTTTTCTTTATTTTTAGTTTTAGTCCAGAAACTTTTCCGAATTCCACAATTTTATGTAAGCTTTTTTGTATACTGATTTCATCATTGATAAATAGAACCGTGTCATCGGCAAGTTGTGCAATTTTCAATTCATTTACACGTGGGCCTTCTATACTTGGTAAAATAATGCCTTTAATCAATTTATCATGTCTAAGTCTTACAGCCATTATTTCTGTTGCAATGATAAATAATAGTGCGGATAGAGGGCAGCCTTGTCTAATGCCTCTGTTCATTTTAAAACTACTTGAACACCAACCATTATTCATAATAATACTTTCGGTATCACAATAAAAAACATTTACCCACTTAATAAAATATGGGCCAAAGTTTAAATGTTCCAACGTACTTATCAGGAAGTCTCTGTTGACAGTATCAAAAGCTTTAGTAAAGTCTACGCTAATCAGAGCTCCTGTTAGGCTGTTAATATCCATATATTCGATCACATCTTCTATCAACCTAATATTTTCGCCGCCAAAACGGCCTTCAATGTATCCTTTTTGATCACTACTAACTATTTTTTTTTATAACTTTTTGTAATCTTTTTGTTGAAACTGATGCGGCAATCTTATAGTCATTTAGGAGAGTTATAGGTCTCCAATTGCTTAAATTTTCATGTTGACCCTTTTTATAAATTATATTTATTATCCCTCTTCGTTGTGAATTTGATAATTTTCCCATTTCTAAACACCAGTTTAATGCGTTACATACCAAAGTATCTATTTTGGGCCAGAACGATTGATAAAACTCCACTGTTAGGCCGTCTGACCAAGGTCATCTAGATGTGTATAAGAGACAGGTGCAATATTTTATAGTTTATCTGTTTGAGCTTGTTTTCTTTGATAGATTTTACTTTCCATGACCAGGTAAGTTCCCAGTCAAATTCTGTATTAAAAAAGTTATGCCACTTTGATTGAGAATTTGTAGGTTCTAAACATTTTTTTGATAAAAAAACAATTATAAATTTGTTTACTGCTACATATTGCAGCAATTGTTTGCGGCAATCTTATAGTCATTTAGGAGAGTTATAGGTCTCCAATTGCTTAAATTTTCATGTTGACCCTTTTTATAAATTATATTTATTATCCCTCTTCGTTGTGAATTTGATAATTTTCCCATTTCTAAACACCAGTTTAATGCGTTACATACCAAAGTATCTATTTTGGGCCAGAACGATTGATAAAACTCCACTGTTAAGGCCGTCTGACCAAGGTGCTTTATTGGTTTTCATATTTCGTATTGCATTTTCACATTCATGGATGGTTAATTCTCCTTCACAACATTGTTGTTCAGGAATAGTTAGTTTAGATGATTTTGTTAAATTTAAATATTCATGAATTTCAGTCTTACTAATTTTTTTCAGAGGCATATAAGTTCTTAAAATGTTGTACTTCTTCGGACAGAATGTCTTTAGTTTCTACAGCGTATGTTCCATCAGACCTTATGATTTTTTTTGACAAAAGTGTGTTTGTTAAATCAGAAAGACGCAAGATGAATTATAAAATAACACTTACTTCTTGCTCTTTCATAATCCTTGTAAAATGGGAAAGCATCTGGTGTACTTGACACAAGATCTTCAAAAGTATACAAGATAAAATGGCAATTCTTGCATGCAGTGTGTCCCCGATGACACTGCTGTAAATGTTTCAGAAAGCAGTCACCTCGTCTGGTAAATTCTGTCGGCTGATTACATACACCATTTTTTTGATCTCTTGCATATTCCATAACTGCCTTCAGACACTTTGAAATGTATGCTGGACTCTGTGAAATAAAATGATAAATCAATGACTATATCATTACATTATTTATTGATGAAATTGAATTGTTAAAGTTGTTTTTTAGGTACCTTATGACAATTTAGTTACTATGTAATGTACTTAAGTTTACTAATTATTATTGTTTAAATAAAAGTTGTTATAAAATAAAATAATACAAAAACAATATCAATAATCATTTTAACACAACTTCTAGTAAAAGCTAAAAAAATATATATATATACTCATCTAGACCCACTTACATTAAGATTCTCCTGCTGCTGTTCCTCGTCCTCATCCTTTTCCTCTATGTCCTTCTCTTCCTTTTCCTCCACTATCTTTTCCTCTGTGTCTTTCTCCTCCTTTTCCTCTGTGCCTTTTTCCTCCTCCTCCTCCTCCTCCTCCACCTCCACTTCCTCCTTTACCTCCTCCTCTCCTTGTGTAGAAGATTGGTCTTTTCTTCCATCTCCATTACCTCTTCTCCGTCCACCGTCTTCATCATCTCTCCGTTCATCACCAGCATCTCCAGAACCACTAACATCACTACAATCCCCACCAGTGGTAGGCTGCTTTGGTTTCATAATAAATCAAATAAGATGTGTCAATTTCAACAATATATAAAATGCATAGGGGCAACTAAAGAAAATAGATTTTGATTTGAGAAGGTAGAATTTGAACGTATAACAAATTCACTCATCCATAACTGTCGTTGTGCGAGTTCTATGTTCTACTGTAAATCAATTTCAATTTTTGACGATGCAGAAGGTTGACACACTAATGTTTAATTGTACAATCCTTGTTCTCTACTGAACTTAGATTCCGCCAACAACCATTTTAGATTTCAGAAGAGAACATAGCGCACAACGTTTCAGACATACCAGTTAAATAAACATGGCATCGTTACGTTGAATGTCGTCACAAATTGAAAGCCCACTAATATAATTCTCTGTGAGTCACTAAGCAATCAAGCAAAAAATTAACTATTATTTTAAAAAACAATATTAAATATTTTATTAAATGAAAGAAAAACCAACCTCCTGTTGTTTTTGCTTCTGCTGTTCTTGATTTTGTTGCTGAGAACTTTCTCCTTTTGAATTCTGAGGATCTCCGGTAACCTTTCTTCCACTGGCTTTGTTATTTCCGAGACTCGCATCTTGAGACTCTGAGTTCACTTGCCGTGAATGCGTGGTTAATGGAATGCTCTTCTCATGTCTGTTGTCCACGTATGATGGGTCAAAAGTGGAGGCAGAAAGACAGTTGAAATTTGGAGATGCTATCACTAGGGAAGATTTCTCATGCTCAACGACTGTTGCTTCTTCAATAATAGTGCTGCGTTCGTCTTCTACTGTTAAAGAAATAGTTCAAAATTGTGATTGTAATCAATATACAGTCAACCCTCCCATTTTATATACTTTAATTTTATGACTTTGAGTTATGCTAGTTGAACTTCGTATGAATGTTCTTCAAAGTACTAAATGTAATAACAAATAAGAGAAGTTTAACTTTTTGTAACATGCTTAATTTAGTTGAAGGAGTTATTTGTTTGAACTATATCATTGGTAGATCCAGGAATTTGAAATCGACAGGGCCCAAGGAAGGACTTTCACGGATAGGGGGACAACACCATCTCAGCCCAGGGCTGAGGTAAGAAAATTGATGATATATGATATGACAACTGCAAATGACCGGAAATGGCACTCTCAGACTTAAATTGAATATATATAAATCTTTTTTTGCCATTTTTTTTAATTACACAAATCAATTGTGATGTTGGTAGTCTATGAGTGAGATACTTACCTGGATAACCGACTAATTGCCATTGTTCCCAAAACGGAACACCCCTTCAAAAAAAATGGAACAGTCCGACCCAAGGCGCCACGTGCGAACCGTCTCCTTAACAAACGTCCTCATTCCCTAAAGATCGACACAATCACGGCGAGGATCTTTTTTTGCCATTTTTTAAAATAACAAATATTTCTTTTTGGTCAAGCTTGAATTTTAACAATACTATTTTTGGGATGATTTGATTTTCGTACACCACAAATTCTTAGGTACATTTAATCATAACTATGATTTTTTCATCCTAAACTTTGGGTGTGTTATTACCCCCTTCCCGAGACCCGGGGAGGTGGTGTGTCGCCAATCACCACTCCTAAATACTAGAGAAAACACTGTGTATATAAGTTTATAAAATATATAGAAATGTTATCTTACGTGATTCATTGTGTTGTTCGCTTAAGGGTTCTGTTGGCTTTTTCTCACTGTAATCTGTCTCATCCAAGTGAACAGTCAACTCACTCCCTTTTTCAGGTTGCTCCCCGTCATCAAATGAATCTTCAGTAGTTGTAACTGGCTCCCTAAAATATACGTTTTGCATGTTTGGAATGTCATCACCGAATATGTAGACTGTCCCATTGCCTTCTACTCTGAAACCAGCTTTCTCCAGTTCTCTAATCTCTTCTTTGCTTCCTTTACACTTTACACCAATGTCTACCACCAAAGGCTTCCCATCTTCAGTATAACACCTCTTTACTTGGGGAAACAAAGGAACTTGAACTCTACAATTATAACACTCTTCTTGACTTTGAGACTGAAAGTAGTCTACTTCCTGGTCATCTGGCATAGCAGGCATTTTCTATTAAAAGAAACAAGTACAGCAAAATTAACAAGGGTATAAATAACATACACAATATACCGCATTTGACCGAGAAAATGACCAGAGGCATGGGTATGAAATTCACTGAAAATTATTAGGTGGGTTTATACTCAAAAATTGCCCAAAAGTGCATCATCACATTCTCTATGAAATCACATCATACAGCGACCATCAGCGCAGTGTGTGCCTGGATTAAGGTTTCAAACCAATCAAAAAATAAATTCAATCTACCGGTATCTTATTTTTTTCGATGACTTCAGACATTTCCTTGATTTTTCCAGCATTACCATATTGTCTCTAAGGCCCCCCAAAAAAAGTTTGCTTTGGCCACGCCCGACCGACCCAAATTTTACAAAATTCAGGATCAGCATTTTTCCCGTTTTTATTTTAATACTTGACTACAACAAACAATATTTATTTATGAGCAAATAAAACTGAAATAGCTTTGGTCAGGCTAGGGGGCCAAGGCAAAGTCTATTTCACTTGATGGTATGTGATGCGAATCCCAAATTGTTGTATTATTTGTGTATTTTCTATATTTTAGGCGTAAACATATTTTTGGTTGTTAAGAAAAAAACATTTTTTTTAAAGTTTTCCTACCGACCTACCCAGTTTTTGGATTTTTCCAAAGCGTAGCCAACACAAACATTTTTTTTGGCCTAATATTAAAACGACTCCTCCTTTTTTTTATCATTTGCCAATTAAGATTTTATGAGTGCCCAACTAATTTAAACAGAGATAAACAAAGGTTCTTTCGTTTAGAATGGGTAACAATTATGCAAATATTAAAATAACAAAATTTCAACTTTATCAGCCGATTACAAACAACTGGAAATGCTTGTAATGCAACACATTACCTAGGGCAGCATGCCTAGTGAAATCCCAATTCCTCTCGCGTAACCTAAATGGCTGTATAATTTTTTACAATTCTGTTAAATTTTTCGACCGTGTGGGTTTCAACAATTATTTTAAGTTTTATTCAAATTTGATATAATAAAATACTTAGTGAGCATACAGTATGTATCTATTATTCAATCTATCATTCTATTATTATGGTGGCTAATGAAAGCCGATATTAAGCTAAACATAAATTGGTAATTCTAGGCCTAACTTGGCCTAAATCATCACTACTAACTATGTGAAGCATGCAACCATCATGCACCACGTTAGTAAACAAAACAGAATGGAGAAATACCATGTGATACAATGTTTATTTGATGGGCAGTTTGATAGATGACGATTGCCTTTCTATCCAGTTAAATTTCAGTAAAAAAGTATAACTTAAAGAAAACTTAGTATTTTTATAGGACACAATAATTTTGCAAGTTTTTATTCTAAAACCATAACACTGCACAGGCACGTAACATGAAAATAATTAAACAACCAAAACCATAGCTTGAAATGTTGTAGAAAATGTAGTAAGCCTTACAGGACTGTAGCGAGTATAATTACAAAATTAATATTATTATATTATATTCAGAGATTAAGTTATTTATTCACTTCTCGATTAACCCAATCATACCTGAAAGCACCTGAAGCGCTCGCTGATTATTGTAATTAATTAATTTACAATAATTAAAAAGAAATCGTATGTGCAGTATTGTGTGCATGTATTTTCACTAAATATTCGAGAAAATATCAAAAATTTTTATAAAAAAATGTTTCTTACTGAATTTTTAATTAATTTCAATGATTAGAGTAATTAAAAATATGAAATATGATAATTGTTTATGTAATGTAATACCCTTGAACGGGAAGGCGCCGCCATCAACACTGATGCATAAAATCGTCTAAAAATACACATTTTTTTCAAAAAGTAACTACTCTGACACTTTCCTACAATAAATATATATTCAACATACATAATGTACCAGTTTGTTTATTATATCCACATATTTCCACGTAAAATCAATTTTTTTGTGGCTGAAAAAAACAATATTCACAAGCGGCGGTTATTCAAGAGCGGCAGTTATTCAAGCATTTACGGTAACTGGTCTACCAGTATACCAGTAATTAATGCCTTTTTAATCATTAGTCTAAGATACAGTTAGTTTTTTAATACAAAACAAGAATAAAACATTATAAACATTAAAATGTGGAAAATAAAAGAGTATTTAATGGGAATGAACCAGCAGTTAAATTGAAGTACCTTAAAAATGGGGACAGAGCTCAATATGTAAACATTGTTTTATTTTAATACTGTACAAATGACTATAATAATTATTTATAAGTGTCTACAAGGGTATGCACCATCATATCTGTCGTCTATGCTTGTCTCTGAAAATATTCACTCTAAATGCATCCGTAGCCAAAGTGGCAACACTTTAATTGTACCAAACTGGAATAACAATCATGGTAAAAGAACCTTTCAGTATAGATCTGCCAAAGAATGAAATAACCTACCAATTGACATAAGGAAAAATGCAACCAATATGAGTTTGGATATTTTCAAAAGTGCTTTTTCTTAATTTTGAATTTTATCACATATTTAAATTCTTTTCTGTTTTCTTTCATGTTTCATGCCTTTTGTTGTTGTTTTTGTTTTTTGTTTTTAATTCTAATGATTTTGTATTTTGATTATGTTAAGATTTTAATCCCAAAATTTTTAACTGGACTATTTGGGAGACCAGTACTTTTGTATTGAAAATGTGTCCAGTCAAAAGAAAGAATAAATAAACAGTGAGTTACAGTATACAGTTGTCTGTAGGCCTATGATTGCAGTTAAGGTGGTAAAAATGTCCCTAGGAATGGTGTCCTATAGCAGAAAAAAAAAATTAAGGACAAAAATATTAGTAAAAATTAATAATAATCAATGAAATTTGAAAATACTTCATAAATATCCTGAACATTTTCTTATTCTATAAAAAGGTTAAAGCCATTCTACTTACACAGTCTGTTTAATGAAAAAAATCTTCAAGTGATTTGCAAAATCAAAACGTTTTATACAATTATTTTGCAATACACCATGTATCGAATGATCAGCCACTGCAATCGTATGATTAGTAATTAGCATATCAAAGGATCAAAAGCCACATTATTATGGCCTGTATTTGAAAGAGGGTGAATGCATTCTGGAAAAGCTTAACTTCACTGACTTGTTCATGATATGATACAGTATAAATCATGAATGAACACAAACAAAGGATAGAAATATTGCGTAATAAATTACCTTGACTGTGTACATTCCTATTCCTACAGAATATATGCCGAACTGCTAGGCCACGTAAGGGCTTTTTGTGTTAAAAGGGGGAAAAAATGAAACATAACCAGTAATTCTTGTACCTAGTCCTAAAAACAATAAAACCTCTTCAAAAGACCACTCACAGCTAAGGTGAGGTACCTACCTGTAGCAACACCAGGCTATACTATATAAGAACATTCCAACAGTATACATGTAAACCAAATGTATTATTAAGGTTTCCATTAGATGTTCATTAAAAAAAAAAGAGTACAAAAATTACCCAGTCTACAGTACAATGTCTTGGAAAATTACCAAGCAGTTTGATAATATGCCCTTCTTTTACAAAATCATATACCTGTACTGTATCTTTAGATAGCACAATACAATTAGGATGTAAGGACCCATAAAAAAAAAATATTAGTTTATCACAATATCAAAGAAGAAAAACTGATGAGGGAGGGAGGTCTTTTCTTTTCTTTGCTAACCCGCCCCCATTTTACCGATGTTCACAAATAAATCAATGGTTAGGGACACGTATATAAAGTTATAAGAATGGAATCAAATTTATATTTGAAAAATATGTTTTTGTTGTACCAGTAAACATATTTGCAAGAAATCCTGAGCTTTTCAAATAAAAAAAGATGACAAAAACGACCGTTTTAAATAAAAATATATGTTGATTGAAAAAAAAAAAATAATCTGAATTTCCCCAAAAGGGATGAGGGAGGGGATGATAAACTAATAATTTTTTATGGGGCCTAATCAAGTTATTAGAGTAAAGTATATAGGAATTTATTTAAAAAATTCTAGGTTTACCAAGGAGGTATTAAAAATACTTCAATTATCTGATATACATATGAAGAAATTCCTTTCTAGTAGCACTACTTTGTAATCTGCCCATGAATGAGTAATTTGCCACTGGCTAGCACAACTCGTGACTTGCCCATGAATTCTGTACAATTTCGCGCTGCTGTAAAAAGAATGGGGATTCCCCTAAAATTTCCAGTTCACTGGATTAGATCATGGAAACACAGGCTATATTCAAACTACAGATCTATGTCAGAATGAATGCATGACATATGCCATTTTAATAATTTACAAAGTTACTAGGCCTAAAAACAACAAATTAAGCCTTTTTTTTAAATTAAACATTTAACCAAATTTAATACTTAAATCTGGTTTTTTATTCAATTTGGAGGTGAAAAAACAGCATGCCTCCATAGAATTAATTACAACATTCAAACTACTTTAGGCGACCATTAACTGTCAAAAGTACAATAAATAATATTTTGTACATAAAATAATCAGTAGAGTTAATTAAACAATTTGCTTCCACCATCATAAATTAAATAATTATTGACTTTAACAAGATTATAAAGATTAATAGTGATATAAACAGAGGATTAAGTAATACACCCACTAAATCAATGAATATTATACATACCATCATCACTGAACTATATACTGAAACATTAGAATCTCTTATTCAAACATTATCAGGGAAAAGGAGCCATTTTACAGCTAAGGAAAAGAACATAACTTTTTATCTCCTGGTTTTTAACTACAACAGAGACCTGTGCAGTAAACCAACATTATAGGTTTTTGTACATTGTGAAAGGTTAAATCTGGAAAAAAATCCTTAAAAATGTCATCAAAACACTTTAAATTGCCCATTCAGGGCACAAAATTCGCGCTAGCAAACTAGCAATCTGCTAGTAGGTTTGTCATAATTGCTGGGTAAACATTCACAAACCAGCAAATAAAAAAAATAAAAATAAGTAAAATATAATAAGAAAGAATAGTTACAAAAAACGAATACACAATTTTATTTTATATCATTTAATTATGAAATCAACTAAAAATGCCTATAATCGATGAAAAACGATCATTTTTTCCCCCATCTTGAGCACCGGAAATAAGATGTGAAGTGTCCCAACAACATTAATTTTTTTCTGCACGTAAGTTGCGTAGTGATTGGCTTACTACCTTAGACCTTGCCGCAGCTTACGACTAGGCCTAGGCTAGGCCTACCTACTACAATTTACAGAAGTACATCATTAGTTGTTATTTTCATACAATCTATTTTCCAAAAATAATACTGTATGTTGGGTTGGTATCAATATATTTTACTAGTTGAGCTAACTCATTTTGGTAGGTACATTTTTCACAACTTAACTAGCAATAGGTTGCTAGTGGCTAAAAAATGTAAATTTCTAGCCCTGCCATTATTTAAAAAAGAATCAAATAAATAAATGCTGCTATTTTTACAGAATATTTATTATATAAAAAATCCTTAAACTGAATTACCAGTTAATTTCAGGCTCAATAGTACTGTTAGTTTTTTTTTTTAATTGGTAAAAAAAATCCCTATTTTCTGAAAGTTTAAAAATCATATGTGGCCACTACTGTAGTTGATATGAACATGCTTTTTTGATACTTTGACAATTTTAAAGAAAATCCTTGTTACTGTATTGAGTAATATATGTCCATATAATATTAATTATTATATATTTGTTAAAAAATAAATATACTATGTTTTAAAAACAATGAACATTCCTTCTATTCATTAAAAAAAATTCATCATTCATTATGTTTCAACTTTCACTATTTAAAAAAAAATTAAAATGCTTGTTTGTATAAGGTATAAATCCAAACTAAATGTTTCACAAAAAATAGCAGTTGATAAACATATTATTATTACTGTAGAGGTGTTACTGTTAGGTGAGTGCAGTGATATCTCCAATAGAATTCCAAACGATTGTTGCACCCATGTATAAACAATAAGTAACCTATTGGTTGGAAATCAAAACAAAAACTTAAAAATTAGCATATCGATATCTAATATTTGTTTAACTGTTTATTGACTTAACTATTGACGTCATTAATGATATTGAGTTATGCTGTTTACCAGGGAAGGGAAACATAACTTGAAAGAACTTTTATTTTTTTTTTTTAATGAGGTACAAAGAAACCAACACATACCTACGAAAATGAACTTGTAAATTAACTCGAAATCTGCTACCAGTTAATAAATGTATCAATTGACTCTTTAAAACAAAATGGCTACCATACTATAGGGCGTAGTTTACAACATACTAAGCGACAAACGGCAAAGGTCATGAAACAGGTGCCTTTGTTGCACACATTAATGTACTTTTAGAAACCTGTTGAAAATCACATACCATAAACCACATAGTACAGTTTATAATAAATTTAAGTATGTTACTGTATGTTTACAAAGATAGGTTTATTGTTTGTAGTGGCCGGTGGTACATTGCATCACCCAAAGGCCTAGCCTAGGTCACGATTAGCAACCACAAATGGGAAACTTGCTTCTTTGTACTGCAGAAGCAGTCATATCCACTTCCTGGTACTACTAGGCTTCAAAAAAAGTTGGAGTAGGCCTACTGCACAATTGAAAACCTTAGAAATACAAAATAAAATTGACAGTTTTTTTAAATTTCTATGGCGTCCTACCTTTGTCAAATTGTACTGAAATAATGTGTACGTTTCCAAAATCCAGAAAATGCTGTAGACTATAAACTACTTTCAGATCCACAAAACTAATTGTACAGTAAAATGAATGTCAGCGCTTAGTAGCCAATAAATCTGCCAATATATAACAGACTTTTCAATGCTGAATATACACAAAAAAAGTGTATAAAAAAATCCTCTTCAATCATCGTCTACCGTCCTGTTCTATGCACAGTGACAAAATGGCAACCTGTTCACTCTCACTGTGCTATGAATGTTGCATTGTGGGTTTAGCTACGTCACATTCTGTACTTCCTGTTTACCAGTTTGTTACCAATGAATGTTAATGTTTCAAGTTTAGCCACCACTGATGCAGTGTTGGATTTTGTAAGGAAGTCTTTGAATTATACATTAAAAGGGATAAATTTAAAAATGTACTTAATACAAGCAAACAAGTATGATCACAGTACTTTAATCCACTAATATATTCCAATAACATTTAAGTTTGTAATGAAATTTAAAGCAGTCTAGAATTAAATATCTTGAAATAATAAAATATTTTACATGTAGATATTTAGTGTGACATGCATAAATATGGTCTTGATGACATCACATCATGACCATATATAGCCATATCATGACTATATATGGGTATACAAAAGTTTTTTGTCTAATAAAATTTTGATACAGGGCTTAAACAATTACACACTAACAAAATTGAATCAAACACTATGTAAAGTCTGACAATGACATGAAAAAACTTTGATACCGAGTCTACACTTGTTTAGGTTGTTGGTGAAAATTATAGGACATAATTCAAACATTTCTTATTTTATGTACTATTACCCGTGACAAAAAATGTGACATAAAAAATAAAATATCATACTCCTTATAGTGTACTACCATAGATACAGTGTATAACATCTGATAAAATATGATTAACATATTCAATTGAAACATTTTAGTTCACAAAGATGATCATAAGTTACTGAATTAACTTCCAATAATACACAATCCAATGATTGTTACATTAGTGTAAAAATATTGTTTGTTTACAATAATGGGGTAGTCAACAAAGATTATAACTTACAGTATAAGTCAACCCCCAAAATACCCTAAATTTCATATAGCTTAAGGCTGAAGTTGCTAATTAGTATCTTGCTATCATATCCCGATTAGCAATACGACATATTTTAACACTGGCTTTAAGTCCTAAGCTTGTATACGCTAGTGTTTCACTAAAAACATGTTTCAATTGTTAATTTAATATCAAATGTCATGATTTCCAAAATTACAGTAATGGTAGTAATTGTACACTAGGCCCATATTTCAATTTTGGAAAATATCGTACATTTTGTCGGTGCATAACTACAGCCTGAATAAACACACAGAGAAAACACATGTACTTTACACTGGTTTTCAACCTTTTCCAGATTAGGGTTTCATTTTTAAGCTGCTCAAAATCTTGCAGTCTTAAAGGTGCCATGTTGGCGCCATTGCTGGCTTGAAAGTCAACAAATTTCAGTCCCACTACAGCTGAGGTGATTTATTTTAAGACTACAGTACGGGCCCCTCCTCTAAGATGCCTGGAAATGGCAATTCCATATTTACCACAAAAATGCTTATTCAGTGATTGAGAAACCCATTCCAATGAATAATTGGCGAATCGAATGACCAAGTGAAGAATTGCTGTACATCTTGCAAAATAATAGTTTATATCAGTAAATAAATTAAATGTCACATTTCATGATAATTGTTAAAGAAACCTTGCGCAGTTTTCATACTGCGCGCACCATTTGAAACTACTGTCATTCCGTGTACAACTGCATAGAGCCATTTTGCCAATACACCAGGAGTTTGGCTTCAAACTCCGGGTGTTACGTAACACCCAAGATCTACTAATCCCTGATAAACTCAGCAGGCAGCCAAGGATTACACTGATTTAACAGTTAGTTAACGGTGCTTACAGACCTCCTTTGTTTGAGCCACCTAGGCAGAGGTCCAGGAATGCGCCAGGGTGGTGATGGATTGTGACCCCAAAGAGTATTTGCATCTTATTTTGTCTATCTCTTACCATTCATGTCAGTTCTGTCATAAAATATACATAAAAATAAGTAAATAATTAAAATGAAATTAAAATTCAAAATAATAATGCAGAAAAAAGGCTACATGTACACTCTGCAGGTGGAAAATAAAGATAAAAAGATAAGACATTCATTTGATGAAACAACGTTTAATTGAATTTAAGTGGATTTCATGCAGAAAACTACTTTTACCGAAATTTGGCGGGACGGAAATCTCGAAGAAACAAGCCTGAAACAAGTTCATCGTCTACCCGGTGAAAATTTCTAGCACAACATGCGTATAAGATAGTATGGTAAGTATTGAAATGCATGCCATCATATTGGAATTAAATATTCCGATATTATAGTAAGTACTGTATGTCATTATCAGAAATGATGAATAATTTCTCAAATTTACATGGGTATAATCGTATATAAGTATATTTATACCTGGTTGGAAAACGGACGGTTCAAAATCAACCAATACGTGGGGTGTGTGATTGCGTGATCATGCAGGCCTCGCTCTCAACTCAGCAGCATAGCGCAATCAGTTACAACTCCCTCGTTTAATGAATTTATAACTAATAAAGCAGATTTGTTGTACAGTAAATTAATGTTAAATACTCAACAATACAGTATAGGTCTCTCAATTTGGAGGACCTACTGTAGTGTGGGGGGGATACATCTTTTTACATAGGCCTAATGGCTAGCAAGAAGTGTGAGGTAAACATTCCGCCATATAGAGTCGTGCACTAGCACAGTACCAGTACAGATAAACGACACGGTACATTTTATTTAGGCCAGTGTGTAACACTGGCTTACCTTGAATGTGCCCTCAATATTTTGATCTTTTTTTTGAAAAACAGTAAAATATTGATGCATATTTCTTTAGCCTATTATACAATAATCTTAGTTTATACTACCGGTATTTAGGTCCGCCGTTATTCGCGAATTTAATATTACAGTACGCACTCAAGGAATGTTGGCCTAGCCTAGTGCGCTGTCTACGCTATGCTCTGGGTCTGTTCTCATCTTTATTTAAACTACAGTATAATCGATCACAAGTAAATTTGAGAAATTAGAAACAAATTTCTGATTTTCTAATATTATTTAAAACTTAAAAAGATTTTGACTAAAATTCAGAGTACAACACTATTTCCGGGCTCACATGTCTTAGGTCGCTCGCGAGCGAACGACCGGCTCGCGGGCTGGGCCTTCATGTGAATAACTGCTCAAGAGCAGTTTTTGTGGTGGGTGACCGCTCTCGATCGGCTTTTGATGCAGACTCACTCTCGATCCATGTGAACAGCCGCTTGCAAGTGGGTTGCCAGTGAGCTGTGACCTCTTTTGTGTGAAAGCCAATCAGATACAAGCATCTCTCTGGAGTCAAAGTTTGTTTGTTTTGTTTGTTTGTTTGTTTGTATAATTGTATAATCCAGTTTTTTTTTTGGAAAGGCACGAATACCATATATCATAAATTCACCTTCATTTTCGAATCATAAGTTACAAAAATTAGCATTTTAATATCTTCCGGAGTGTAGGCCTAGGCGTCGGTATACTGGCGACATGTACGTCATTAAATATACATTGTTTGTAGAAGAAATGGTCCAGTATTTTGTTCCTGAGATTGCAATCATCAACATCAGACAGAAAATTGTAAACCGTTTTAGATTTTCCTGAAGACCCAATAAAGAAAAAGGATAGATAAAGCCGGCCCGATTCAGATTAATGTTACAATACATAGTACTTTTTTAAAAATAAAATTATTCCTGTGCCTAAAGAAGTGTTTAAGTAAACTTGTTGATTTCTTTTTAGTGTTAATATTTATAATAAAATTAAGCCACATGTGCATTAAATAATAAACAAAGTTATAATAAACTATGGAATTTGTAAATTATTCCAAATACTGAATTAGTGTCTGCTTGTATTGTATACCTTCTGCAATTGCACGATTAGAGCGAGTTGATATTGCTTGATCATGGTGAGTGGCAATGAGCATATTAACATTACTATTATTTATTTGATTTTATGATGTATGATATGCTTGCATGCACTAAGATCAAAAGGATAGCAGACAATTCATGAACTTGTTTGTAAATAAAATATACAGGGTATTTATTTTTACACTTTCATAATACAGTATAGTACATGAAAATGTTATTTTCACAAGCATTACACATACACTATACAGTCAACTGGATTTCATGCAAAACCGGTTGTTTTTTAAAGTCCCAAAATCATTCCTATTCTTACTGTATTAAAATACTTTCTGAAAAGCGAATCTCCCAATTCCGAATTCCGGCCAAATTCTTAAGTCCGGAACAATAAAATTACATCGACTGACTCCAAATAACAACTATCAAATCACAGAACAACACCACGTGTACGATTGTTAGTGTTGATCGGGTGACACGCCGATAGCGCATTAATTAATTAATTAATTAATTGAAATAAGCCTAGATTTCATTTGTTTAATAAACTGATAAAAAAAAAGTTCATGAGTGTGTTTTCTTTATTAAGGAACGTATCCTTTTCTCACATTTTGCATTCATTCTCACGCTAAGGCAAACCAAGCGGTCCCAACATAAGGTTATCGATTTCATAAAAACAATTGCGCATGACACTTTGACTGTAACCTCTGACTGTTTTCTATTGGCTGACGCAGTTTAGGGGGCGCTGCATAAGTTAGCACTTATTTTTAGCATTCAGTGACCCACCCCAAGGTTATGCCAGTGGCATCGAAAACCAATCAAGTGTGCAACCACGTTGAAGCGAAGCAGATTATGGCGATCGAACGAAAAATAACACTGACACTTATTATAAATTATGATACACATTAAGTTGATTTGTGTAAATTTTTATTGATAATAGACTTCGACACAAAAAAATAGGTACGTACAACATAAATAATGTAAAAATAAAGTAAAACATGAATTTTAAATGACGTTCTCAGGTCAGTAGGCCTACACAGTACATGATGCAGTGTGGTGTACCTATCTGCTGTACCTTGCTAGGCCTAGGCTTATTATCGACTGAAGGTCGGGGAACCAAGGTAGGTAAACATGACGTAAACATGACGAAAACCGGTCAAAGTGGACGGTCCGAAGGGTGGTCGGTATTGGGAGAGTTGACTGTACCTGTATTAACATCTACAGTTCAGCAGGTCC